TTATCCCCTGTTTGTGTGAGCAAATTAGTTTTCGAAACATTCCAATTGCAAATATGACGCAATCTTTACAAATAGTATCATTGCAGAAGCTTCCCAATGGGACCTCTTTGTAATGTGTGGTTGTACTTCGTTTCGTTCCCCCTTGGACTTGCTTACATAGCCCCCGGGGGGATAGTCTGGTGTGATCAGAACAATAATTGGTACACGTAAACTTTTTACTGTAAAACGGCACGAATAGCTCGGTTCTATCTTGGCCAGGTTCTTTAGTCTGATTGTAACAATCAGAATTGTCCGTTTGGTTGTTGTTATTGTCACTCTGTCGTTTTGCATATTAATGCAATTGCGTGAACGGGAAAACAGAACCATTTAGCTTAAATTGATTGAACGTCAGTTATCATTGCATCAAATCTGGAGTATCGACAACTAAATTTATATTCCAGCTTTAATATTGTAGGATCGCGATGAATTTTATTAGAATAGCTTTTACCTTAACAGAGAAAGTTCAAGTTATAGGGTACAGTTTATAAATAATTTTAATTCCATTGCCTTCGAACAACGGCATTGGAAACCTAGTGGGTTTACCAAACATGCTATATCACATGCATTACGACAAAAGCAGCAAATTTATTCATAAATTATTCTACAAGGTACGTTTTAAATTTATACTATGGAAATTTAGATTAATCGATAAAAATATTTTGGTTTATTTGAAAAGAATTATCCATCCTTTGAAATTTAGTTTAGGATATTTTTATAAATTAATTTAGAATCTTAAAATTTGTGTTGATGGCCATGAAAATGCAACAAAACTGTAAGCTAAATATCGACATTAACTATTAAGGCAAACTTCATAATTTTTCGTTTTAAATAATTGAAATTCACATCCCATACCACAAGCAGCGCTTGGTGTCTGTCACACTCCAGTGGACGGATTCAAACGTTTTGATGGCTTACGAGCAACATAAAGGTTACTTTTAACTTGAGTAACTTTTTCCAAACTCGTGAGTGAATCAGACCATTTTCCAAAAGAATTTGAGGAACGAGCAAAACAGATAAAAACATCACAATCTTTTGGATAAAACGAAATAGTTTGTTGTGAAAGCGTACAGTCAAAATATGGCATCAGTTTTCGGTAAAAAAGGAGACCCTTCTTGATACCAGGAAAACGCCCTTAAACGCAACCACGAGAAAGCTCTTCTCTTCATTAACGGTCTATTTATGAGCAAAATTGTAGATAAACTGTGCCAGTTAAAGATTGACATCGGTGGGTTTGACGTGAAATAAAGTATTTTGGCCACTCAATTATTAATTTTTATTTAATTGCTGATGTTGTTAATGTTGCATTTTGGAAATAAGAATAAGTGACCTTGTGGAAATTCTTACTCAGTTTGTGTTCCTGCGCAGAGCGAGTTATTTTATGCAGTCAAGAGAGCAAAAGTGAGAACAAAGAAAACAACCATACAATCCACTTCTGAAGATTTTATTCAACGTGTAATTAGTCCATTGAATTTATTTTATCATGATTACCCATATGGTTAGCTACAGAGCCACGAAACACCAGGAACTAATTTTGTTTGAATGGTAGGTGTTTATTGTATCAAAACATTGGATTCGTTGTTCTAACTTGTCACTCTAAGACTTATCCGCTATTTTCTAGCGATAAAGCATGATCCCTTTCTGAATTCGTAGATTTCAGGTTCATTGCAAACAGATGGCACACATTAAGTAAACTGAAAACCCTGATGGACAGTAACTCAGACTCTTCGGAAGAATAGCACAACAATAGCATAGTTGACTTTTCATTGCTGTTTAAAATTATTAATGTACTCAATAATATTCACAGTTTATTAGTGTTTGCTTTAATTCCAAAATTGTAATCAATAAAATCCCTAAAGTCTATATAACATAATAAAAGTTTGAAAGGTGTATATTTGTTAATTTATTATTCTGACTAAAAACAAATCAAATTTACTTATACGACTTTAAATTATTATCTGTAATATAATTACAAAAATGCTATCAAGTACTGATAAAATATGTGCATTACGATTTTACTGAAAGAAAAGTGACCAAAGGAATAACATTTCATGATATTTTTCCTAGATTTTCTATGTTCACAATAAACGACAAATATTGGTCTTAGACTGATTGAGCTTTTATTTATTTGACATCTTTCAAAGATTTACACAGCCTCGTAAAATTTAAATACGGTGGAGATGTTTGATTGTCATCGTCCCTTTAGTTTTATAAGATTTTTCCAGAGAATTTTTATGTGTGCAGTTAGCTTATAACGATTTTGATAGTGATTTCAATAAAAAGGCTAACTGTGTTTTGATGAATATTGATCGTTTTATCCTCATTGTGCCTCCAAGTTTACAGAACCACAAGCAGTTGTTTAAAATATTCTTCAATCGTTATTCTTTTTATTGTAGGTTGCCTTTTTATTTGTCAAATGTTTATTCTAACTAAAAGCAATTGGTGAAACTCAGAATTACTAAATTTACTGTAAAGTATTTGCCCGGGATACTTGCTGCGACTGAGATCTCACAGAGAAAACGAAATTCGATTTTATAGTTTCATAAAGATATTGTCAGGGAAACAAGATGTCAATTCACTTGCAGTTTCTTAGTATCCTAATAATTTCAACGCTTAAAGATAAAACTCATACAAACTGTTAAACCGCAACACACCCTTGGTTACTTTCTTTCGCGAGATACGTTTTTCCCACTTTTGGCTAGTATATCTTTCGGCACAAGGACCTTTCATAATTTCGCTTTTATAAAAGATAGTACAAAGTAGTGTGATATTCTTTAGCGGAAGCTTATGCTTATTTTACCCTTTTTTTCTGGATGAGATTATAATTCTGAAGAAACAGTATGTTTAGCCCACCTTGTGGAAAACATTGTTGAAACAACTTTTAAACACACCTGAACTATTCTGATATAATCTAAAATTACCTTCGGATATCAAACAATTACCAATAACGCTATCACAAAAATGGTTAAGAAAACTTTTGACTTATCAAATCCAGTGTCCCAAAATAGTGTTGGGCGCTGCTGTCTATCAGATTTCTTGATTTTTGTAGTTTTAGCTCATATGAAACAGTTTTAATTTATAATTCAATGTCAATTCATTATTTTATTAAACACGTACTACCTCTTTTTGTATTTCTGAAAATTGTTCTATAATTGCCCTTTTCGTTTATTGGAAATGTAAGTGTTTATAAATTTTTAAAAAGAAGGTTGATTAAAGAGAGCAGTCAGCTAGGTTGGTGGTGAAACGCATTTTGAATACACTATTTTGCCCTGCATTTCTGACTCTCTAGTTTGAGATAATTCTCTCTTTTCTACAAGTGATAACTAAAAACTAGAAGAAAACTTTAAGTTCACTTTAATTTCATCCTCATTTATATGCTTGATAGATTTATAACGTTCAGTTAATATGGTGGTTCTTTAAGAATTGCCCAATGCGGTTTGCTTTTACAGTTTTTTAGAACATTTATCAATTGTTTTTTTGAGATTATCAGAATTGCACTGGTTATAATGCACTGTCGACAACAAGACAAAAAATGAAGCAAATCGTGAAGAAACAGAAGAAAACATGTTATAAGAACACTTTTAAGGATATTCTTCAAGGTTTTATGAAAGAAATATGGTGGAACCACATAAACAATTTCAGTTTAAGTTCCACGCGAATAAAAATTAAACATTGCTATTCCTCCTATAACACAATTGTTTTTATTTCGACTGGAAGCGAACTCGCAGCGCAATTATAGAGTTTTAAAAGAAATACAAAATTGCAAAATCCCATAGTTGAAAGTTACTTATTGTTAAGTTTGCAATTTGCAGTGTAATCCTTACTAGAACAGGGAAGTAGTCCGTGGGCTTATTTGGGTTTTATTGGTATCTGGATGGGACGGACCCTTGAGGCTTGTTCCATTTGAGTCACAAAACGTTCTTCTGATCTTAGGGAGAATTAGTGTGAGCTTTTAAAATATAAGAGTCTTGTGCTAATCCTATTTTTGGCTCTCATATGGTCATACTCCTAGAATAAAGCAGTACTCACGTACAATCTGAACCAGAATTCAACATGACGGATGAGCTACATGTATCATTGGAAGCATTAAAATAAACTTTCTAGTATGAGAAAGACAATGACGTTGAATTTTCACCCCAGATGACCCCTGAGGGAATTTTGATGTTGCCATAAATGACAAACCTCTCTCGAGTAAGGCAACTGATCACGCACAACATTTGATAATAATTTTTAAGTTTATCCCTATAAAATTAGTAACCCCTGGTGATAGCTTTAGTGACATAGGTTCCTATATTAACCAATATATTATGGTAATTTTCAAAAAGGTTTTCTTCTCTAGGCTCCAGTGTTTCAGCGGTTGAAGATATTCTCGAAGCTATGCGAATAACCCAAGTTGGAATCCCGCAACCGCCAACCTTATTTACCAATTCTTTACGTAAATCGGAGCACTTGGATGACTGCACCCGCAATCCTCCAAACAACTTACATCATTTAGAATTCCATCCACAAAAATGATGTAAAAGATGAGACTTCGTTTTGCCGTGGCCGCACGTGTGGGACCGCAAACAGTCTCATTCGAGTTATATTTTCATCACGCCTGGATACCTCAGTTTATGATTATCCCACTCGTGTTCTATCCAATTCCTGAGACAGAATTTACACATTATTTTGAATGTGTTCATAAATACATGCAAATTAATATAAAAATGATCCCAGTATATTCACGTAATAAAAAATTATGTTATAATTATCGTGATAATTTTGATCATTATCTAATAGCAAAACAAAAGGAAATGGGTACCACCTTTGTTACCTTTTTGAATTAACCAACAAACTTTAATGATTATAACCATAAATATGGTTATGTATAATTCTAAGGTTAAATTTGTTGTTATCCATGAATTTCGCTTCAATGAAGGTAATTCGGTATCACATTTAGAAAACCAATGAACTTTGAAACTCACATCCTATTTCCAGTTTAAGCGAAGTACTTCGTAGACCGCCGAAAGCATTAAGAGCCACACAGCGATAAACACCAGCATTGTCCCGATGAGTCGAAGATATGCGGAATGTGTGGGAAATATTGTCTTTAATCATCACTTCATCTTTGAACCATATATTTCTTGTTTCTTTGGAGTTCGTTCTACATGGTATTATCACAGAGTCTTTTTCTGGTATGATAATATAACTTTCATGACCCGAAAAATAAAGAGGAGGTGCATCTTGGGCGTTCTGCAGAAGATCACATAGTGAAAATTCAAATAAAATAAGGGTGCAGAATTTAATAATGAACCACATGGCACCATATATTGTACATCGACAGTTTTGTACACGATGAACAAGGGACCCGAAAGTGCAAACAAATAACGCTTTTGTTTTTGTGTCAATGTGTGACCTGAAGATTTGAATGGTTTAAAGTGCAGGTCTCAGTTCAGTCCAGTTCAGGAATCCGAGACTTGACAGGGATATACTAAATTGTCCAGTTTCTCATTCTTTCAGGCCCTAGGATCCTCGAAGTGCTTCATTTTGTTGTACATTCGCGCGCGGTTTAAAAATTCGTAGTGGTCTCATTGAAAATCTTTTTGGTACTACTTCAGTGGAATAACTAACGACATTTCACATTTTACTGACAGAAAATTTGTCTAAGCGTGTATTTACTGTATATGCTGTGACCTCTTAAAAGGCCGCAATACATATGCAGTGTTATCTCTTTCTACAATGTGCGTATAGCGTTTTTTGAAGTTCTCCAGGTGTTGTAAGCCGCTCTTGTGATAAGTTTCGCATCATGTATTTTTTACATATCCCGAGCAAAGTTTCCATGTCTGAGTGTTAGTTGTAGGAAGCGCGTCGTGAAAGGTATGAAATGCGATGTGCGCATAAGTGGGCGCATGAAAAATCCTCTGGCCTAAAACCAGAAGAATATGCGTTCCATTGTCAAAGTGTAGGGTAAATATGGGTTTGTTCTCACTGCTTTCGAGCAGCCGAAAATGCGCTGGTTACGGCACGATCAGAGGTAGTCTCAGCACAGCACACACCAGTATGAATGCAGCGTGATGCACCTGTCACATGAGAGAGAGCAAGGACGTGTTGTAACCATGATTGTACGAAGAAAAGGAGCAATCCACGAGGACGTTTTCCGTTCTTTTTTTCTTCACAATCAGCTCTGACTCCAACTGTGATATTTCTTTCTTTTACTTCTGCTTGTTTTACTGAGCACGGTTTTCTGCTCAGGTGTATATATATGCTGGGTCCTGTTCAAACTCACGCTACACGTGTGACACGCTCTCGCTTTGCCACTGCAATTATTGCTTACATTGTTCAGCGTCACCTTGGCACGTTTCGGTACTAACTAGTACCACGATTCGCTAATAAACGTCTACGACTCCCACGATTGTTTTTGTCTACCTCGGGCAACGAGACACTAGGAGGTCGGGCGCACTTTGAGACTCGTAAAAAGACTTACCGGCAGGCCGTCAACTCCGGTTAGCTTCAGGCATACGCCGAAGTTTAAGCAGCTGAAAAAAGGGGAAAACGAATGTAGATGCTCGAACTTTTATTCAGAGTGTTGGTCCGAAAACACCAAACCCAAGAAATAGCAAATCGAATTCAGGAGGGGACGATGCGTTAGATACCTGGTGTGACAGTGTCAACCCTTCGCGCTCATGTATTTTTTCCATTTTCCCGACCTTGTTGTTTTACCGGACCAAGAAAACCTCGTTGGTCCCGGTACGTTGACTTTCACGTTCTGCAAGCTTACCTACCTGAACACTTCTATCTGTACTCTCCAGCTCATTACAATACAACCGTCGTTGAGGTTTCGTGATATCAGTCGTTCAGCTTTGGTTCGTTACCTCGTCCGTTTTTAGACGTTCGAATTCGTGGACATCATTGGCCCAGAGACTAAATACCTCCACTCCGAATCACAGACTACGTGTACCACAGCATTGAGAAGTGATTTCGAAGCTCAAATCGGAGAATCTTGTGGGTAGCGATTTGAAGCCTGTCTACAGGATGCAAGGCCTCACTAATTGCTCCACTTCTAGCTGCCAGGAGCTAGAAAACAAGGTAAGGGTCCTTGAAAGACAAGTTAATAGCATGGAAATGAGTGCCACCCGTAGACTCCTGACTATGAATCTTAAAGAACCTCTCATTATGGAGTTTTAGCTTCGAAGGGACATGGACGGACGGCGAGTGTTCGACGTACTGAGAATAGCAGGGGTCCGACTCCCCATGTCTCTTAAGCAGGTTCACCGAGTTGGTGTATGGAAAGAACAGCAAGGAATTGAGGGGTATATTTCTAGCAACACCCAATGGAAAAGACTTAGACACCACAATCCGTCGGAGATCCCAGTCGAAACCTCCTTGGACTGCAAAAAACTCGGTGTCCCCTCGGGTTCAGTGCACGAGGCATCGAAAACCTACGCATTATAGGAAAAGAAGAACGGAGAACGGAAGTGGTGTTATACATTAATGCATGCAGGATTTGTAACAAATGGATGGAACTCTTTAAAGTGAATGCGGCGCAGCGGTAGTCGCGGTCACTAAAACTTGCTTATCTAATAATGACCAAGTAACCCGAGTCTTTTAAGAACTCTATGCAATTTACAGACAGGATAGAGAGCATGACGTTTTAGGTGGGGGTGAACCCATCTCCATTAGGGAGGGCATAAGTCACCTTGAATCCCAGGTCAGGGTATGCACCAGGAATCTTCAAGCATACATTGTCACACTGATCTTTCCGAAGAGTAAGGTTAACGTGACATGCATCTACCGGTCCCCTAGTTCGAGTCGTGAAGAGTACATTAAACTCCTTCGCGTCCTTACAGACCTGATGAAGGAACCCGGCGAAACTCTGATAGTGGGTGCAATCAACATGCCAAATATTGATTAGGAGCTTGAAATCAGCCCATCAGGAACACAGTAAGAGGCATTCCTGGAGTGGCTCCATGAAAACGCAATGGGGAAAAACGTAAAAGAAAACACCAGATACAGGACGGGCCGCCCCCCTCACTATTAGACTTGGTGATTACGAAGCACCATACGGATGTCATACAATTGGAGTTACTGCCACCGTTAGGTAAGAGTGCTCACGTATGCATGAAACTTACATTCTGCATGCAGCATCCGAAAGCTACCACTAAAATGGCTAGAAACATCGGGACCATGAACGTGGATCTCCTCAATAGCAGAGCGGCTTAGCTAGCCTGGGACGACGAAGTAGCCAGCATCGGAGGGCTATGGTGAGTAATTAAGCAATCGCTACACTACTACAAGACGAATTCGCGCAGCTGAAACCCAGACGACACCTAACCAAACTGATCTGGTGGCGAGCGGCGATAGACAAGGCCATCATGCGTAGAAACCGAAGTTGGAGCTTCTACAAAATTTCCGGGAGCTGCTTAGCTTGGATGAGCTACACAGCTCTCAGGAACACAGCGGTCGACGTGGTGCGAACAGCGAAACTCAACTATGAGTTTAGGCTGACCAAATTCACCAAGAATCATCCTAAGAAATCTTACTAGTATGTGAAATCCAAAGGAACACTCAGGGATGGCGTGGGGGCATAGAAGACCGGGGGGTAATCCGTCGCTGCAGACTAAAACAGCAAGGTGGGCACACTAAGTATCTGCTTTAGCAGTATTCATCGTACGCAACCTGGTAAAAGGCAACTCCTCCGGTAGTTATTGACGATTTGAGTCTAACGGAGATGGTTAGGAGCCATCTAGAGAGCTTCAATATAAATAAGTCGGCTGGTCCTGACGATATCCACCCAAACATTGTGAAACCATTAGTGGGTATTTTAGCTGGACCACTATGTCAATTATTTAAGCTAGGCCTAGAACAAGGTATTCTACCACTGAACTGGAAAACAGCCGCCGTGGTAGCCGTACATAAAGGAGGGTCCAGGTCAGAAGTAGGCAACTACAGGCCGGTAAGCCTAACATTTTTTGCAAGGTGCTGGGAAGGATCATCAGAGCTCATTTCTGTAAACATTTACTGTACCATTCTATGCAGTGTCCTGCTCAGCATGGGTTCCTGAAAAACATATCATGTCTCACCAATCTCTTGGGCTTCCTAGATGAAGTAACTCGTAGGCTGGATGAAGGCGTAGAAGTATGCTCTCTAGACTTCAATCTTCAGTCTTCAGGATTGAGGGCAGAGGGCAGGGTGCCCGTGTATGCCCCATCACCACTGGGCCGAAGGTCCGATCGCAACTGTTCGTTCCTCCATAGCCCCTTTAGGTGCTCAACAAGACGCCGTTTGAAAGCAGTATCTGTCTAAGCTTCCACGACAAACGCTGGAAGGGAATTCCAGAGTGTTAGTGACCTACGCGAGAGTCGATAGACTAACGGAAGAGTAAATGACTGAAGTTTCCACCACGTGAGAGAGTGCCCCCACGTGCGGTGCTCTGTCCGTAAGGGGAAGTACTGTTGCATATATCGCACATATCACCTCTCAAGATCTTCCTCAGATGGATGAGGTCTCCCGTGAAGAGACGATACGTAATTGGGAACAGACCAGTAGCCGGTAGACGACCTTCATAGCTGGTCCCGCGTAGTCTAACAACGAGTCTATTGGCAGCACGTTGTACACGCTCCAACTTAGCCAGTTCACCTGCCGTGCAGGGGTATGTCGCAGCACCACCACACTCAAGTCTTGGTCTGACATGGGAAGCGTACAGCAGCCTGAAAGCGTCCATCGTGAACTGGCTGAAAGACCGCCAAATAGGGCTTAGAATGCTCCATGCGCTAGCACAGACCCGATCGGTGTTTTCTCGGGTCCTTAGTGATGACTTAACCATAACACCCAGGTCTCGTTCTCACGATGTTCTGCACAATGTGGTTCCCTGGAAGTTGTAGACTACTTCTGAGTTATCACGCCCCAAATGCAGGTAAGCACACTTTGCTGTGTTGACTGGAAGAGCCCAGGTGTCCGCCCACTGAGCCTGGTTCTTCAATTCCGCCAGAAGAGAACTTCGATCATTCGGTTCCTTGATTGTACGCCAGATTTTGATGTCATCCACATAGATGAAGGTTGGGCTGCACAGTTGACCCGACAGGTCGTTCACATAAACCACAAAGAGCAATGGACCAAGA